GAAAGAGAGGTCCAGAAGGTCCATGTTTTCGGTGTGTTGGCTGGCGAAGCCCTCGTCGCTCAGCCGCCTCGAGGTGCCGGCACCCTCCCTGCAGAGAGGCTTGGGGCTGTCCCTGAAGGGGAGAGCCGGGTCTCCCTCAATGCCACACGGCGTGACCGGCTCATCCTCTGTACCTGTGCTCTGCTCGGTGACGCCTTCCAGGTGAATTACGTAGGGGCAGGAAGAGCGATCGACGCTGGCCAAAGGTGCAGAGGTCACCTGGGCAGAGGGGGAAGCAGCACCGAGGTGAACAGATAACCCACCACCCTCCTCATCTGGGCTACCCACGGTGAAGGTGGCCTGCTTGGGTACCGCGTGCTCCGGCAGCGAGAGACTCACCAGCGGCAGAGCTCCGAGACAGGTCGGTGCCTTCTCCAAGCACAACGAAGGGTTCAAGTTTTCATCTAAAGACGGGACGGCCGTGGCCAGCCGGCCCTGCTCACAGCTTGCGTCGGGGCACTCGGCAGACTTGACCGTGGGAGTGTATTCGATGATTTCGATTCTCTTTGGGAGGAGGGAGGGCAGGGATGGCTCCTGTGTCTCATCAAACGAGACCACTGTCCTGTGCTCTTGTGCCGTTCCCTCCTGTCCCGGGCTGGGCTCTGCAGGCAGGGACTCCTGGGCAGGGGAGGTGAGGGGTGCAGGCAGGGGTCTGTCCCCAGGAGCACCCAGACCCCGTGCCTTGTCACTCTCAGGAGCCAGCTCCAGGGACGGCTCCTCGCTCTTCCCCCGCAGCAGGAGCTCGGCAGCAGGAGAGTCGTTCTTGGAGTTCTTGCGGGTTGGCAAGATGCAGACTGGAGACGCGTGCTGGTGCTCCTGCTCCTGTCTCAAGCGCTCCTCAAACTCCAGGGTGGCTCGCCGGACAGAGCCGGGGCACCACTTGGGCTCAGGGTTGATGGAGCCACGAGGCTCTTGATGCTCCCCCCCAGGGCCGCTTTCCTCTAGGTCTGATTTGCCAGAAGACGGCTGCAGGGAGAGGGCAGCTTCTTGCTCAGCTTGTGGAGGGTCCTTCTCCTTTTCCTGGTGTCCAGCACAGGCTCCTTCGCTCTGCTCCACCTTTTCCGATGCCCAGATTGCCTCCACTGGCAGGTCGTGCACCGTGTTCCTCTTTGGTGTCTGAGTGAGGTTGGCTGAACCCTCCTTGTGCTGGGCAGGTCCCGCTCCCTGGTTGATTGACTCGATCTCTGTGATAATTTCCTTCACAGAAATGGCATTTTCTGAGTGGGATCTCGTGAGACGGCCTGTGCTAGGCAGCTCGGGGACCTCCTGCAACACAGAAACAGGAGAATTACAAAGTGCATCAGCTGTGCTGACACCGAGCAAACAGCAGCGGCTGAAAGGAAATGGGGGTGCACGTCCCCAGAGGAACACAACACGCACGTGCCAGTGTGTGGGGACAGATTACAAGTGCCATGATCACTAACGTAGAAGCACTATTGTCTCTGGGACTGCACTTCACATATTCCAGGCTGGATTTTCACCTAGACTGAGATTTAAGAACCTTTAATTCATGCAAATTCCAAGGGAAATATAACCTTTTTTTTTTTTTATAAAGAAAGGTTTAGTTAAAAAAAATCCTAATGCTGCTAAAAGTGCAGTTTTGAACTGAAAACGTGAAGGATTCTGCTCAGGTACGGAAGCGAACAGACGTACAGCATAAAGAATGACCGAGCGCTGAAATGCTCTGGTTTCCCGGAGGAAAATGGCCAGGGAGGCTCCCCCATCCGCACAGACGCTCCTGCCAAATCACCAGAGAGCGTTGGCCTATTATATTTGGAAGAGCCTTACTGCCTCACATGGAGATGGAAAAGATTCAAGCAATGCAGCGTGGAATTCAAATAAGGGAGGCTACCAGAAAATGATGGCCCCGGACATCATCAATCCCCGTGAAAGCCCTGCAGGGTGGAAAGCAATTATAAAGAGAAAGGTACCTCAATTCAGAGGTTACTAAATTTTGTCAGGAATATCTCTGTACCCAGGAGAGAAATGAGCCGTGACATGCCCAATGCCATCATCCAGGCCTGGACATGCTCATTCTCTTCCTCCAGCAGTGGAAGCTCTACATCTGCCTTGATTTACTATCCCAACGCTGGTGCTTCCCAGCCAGGGAAAGGTGCCAGCTTTGTCGCATTCTTTGGTGGATTTCTCAAGTCAGATGAATATGGGCACAGGTTCGGGACGCTGGCTGGCCTCAGCTGTTGAGGGTTCAGCTGCACCAGTGGGTCAAGTCCCACCTATGCGCTCTCCTGACGCAGAACTCAAAAATAAGCTCCCCATGGGCACAGCACAGCAGGTCAGGTCAAGGTCGACTCGGTCAGTATCCTGCCACTGCCAGCAAAAAGATGTTTAAGGAAAAAGTGCAGAAAAGGCCAAGTTTCTAAAAGTGAAAAGGGGAAGCATCTAGCAAGCCCTCCCCAACTGGCTACCCTGTCCAGTGAAAGCCAGGACTAGAAAATCCCCTGTCCACAGCAACCTCACAGCTAGGGAACTACCCACAGATGGGTTCAAGCTGCAGTTCCTAAAAAACCCAGCAAGTTATTGTAACCTTTTGTTGTTCTTCATCTGTGGAAGAGTCATCCGATGCCTGAAGAGAGTTTCCAGAGCTGTTCCTTCGAGCATCTGCATCCCCATCTGCAGCAGGCGGCACTTCCAGCACAGGCACCCTGGAGACCCTGTTCCTTCCACTCCCTTGCTCCTCCGCCCTGGAATAGGAGCAGGCGCGTGACCGGCTGTCCTGGGAAAGCTCCACGAATTTCTCCAAAACGCTCAAGAAATGAATCCTGTCCGTACTGAGGTCTGTCACTTCAGGCTGAGGATTCTGTTGGAGACTCGAGGAATTTTGGTTTGGGGATTGCGGAAAGTCTTTTAAGCACGAAGTGAATTCTTCCATGGGAACCAAGTGGACGTTCATATCAGGCTTAAGGGCATCTTTTTCTAGATCATCCACTGTCAAATCGGGAAACTCTGTTATTTCCAGGGGGTGCTGGAGTTGCATTAAGGCCTCAGAAGCATGGCAGTTATCAGGGGGGACAGAGTCTACACAACATCCTGCCGTACAGCCATTGATATTGTTCAGGTTCAGCTTGTCCTCCATCTGCTCAGCGTGGAAGTCTCGACATGTAAACTCCAGGTGGATCCTTCTCTCCTTCACACACATCTCCTCGATCATGTTTGCATCCTCTGGGAGCCGCTGCTCCCTGTCAAGCTCAGCAGAGTAGATGGGAGACATCGGCTGCTGGTTGTCGTTCGTCTTGGCCTCTGAGATCTGGTCGGCTGAGGTGGTGATCTCCTTCTTGTTCAGCTCCAGCCCAGACTTGCAGATGGGCTCGTGATGGTCTGAGAGGTCACTGTCTGAGTGTGAGCGCCACAGTTTATTATGCCGCTGTTTGCTGCAGGGAAGAAAAGCAAACGAAGACACTGAGTTGTGTTTTCACATACCAGATCCAGACCCACCTTGTTGTAAGAGAAGGCAACCTACATGAAAAACCATGCCAAATACTGGAGTCACTGACCACAACTGCAGCTTCACCTAAATGGCAGGTGGCCAAACCTGCAGCTGGAGAAGTTGATCCAACAACAAGCCACTTCCCAGCATCTAAATCCCACTGCACTGTTCTGCTCCACACACATGTATCCCCCAGAAGTATTTTATCAGTCTACTCAACAAATGCAATGTTTAATTGACTACAGAATTTGGTCCTTTCTCAGCCAGCAAGCACCTTTCCATTTGCTAGCAGGTGAGCAATGACCAGAAGAGACAGGGTCCCTAGCCCTGGACGTGAGTGGATGGTGGACGCTGAATGAAGCCCAACGTCGCTCTTTGAATAGCTTCAGTGCTCAACAACCAGGCTCTGGTAACCAAAGGGGTAGGGTGGGGTGACTGCATGTGGGTGTGTGTAAAACACAGAAGACATCCTCAGCAGTCAACAAGCAGCCCAAACCACCACCTGCCTTTCACAGGAAGGAAGCTCAAAGAGTTCTCCAGCTCTTGGAAAGCCCCTTTAGGAAGGTCTGAGCAGTCACAAGGCCAAGCAACTGCCAGCAGCATTGCATCACCTTCCTTATCTCCATCTGCCAAAAAATCCAGCCCATGCCCCCGGGCTTACAGAAAGCAAAGGAGGCAACTTCTCGAAGTGGCACCACAGACATGTGTGCAAGGGCTTTGCTGAGTGACCATGGCCACAGGGCTGTGCTTCCACCGTTTGCCCCTAGGAGGAGAGCAGATACCACAGAAAGGTCCTTGACTCTGCAGGATCCTCTCCAGTCCCTTGCCAGCGTGAGCAAGCACTCCCAGATACATCCAATGGCTGCAGGAAGCTAATTAACAGATGCTACTGAACTAATTCTAATGTACCAGTTTAGCTCTGGGTGCCCAACAGCTAAATAAAATAATCCAACACGGATTTTTGCTTTCTAACCCCATAATCAGCTACAACCTTCATGTATGACATGGCAGAATTGGGTCCTTTCAGAGGACAGGAGGGTCAAGACTTAGAGGCCAAAGGCATTGCTCCGGGGTGCACGTGCTCTCTCTCTAAAGGGTTTTGGAGCGAAGTCTGACACTGGCAGCAGAACCAGGCTTGCCCACGAGGCAGAGTTTGCCCAGCACAGCCTTGATCTGAGAATTAAAACAGATGTCACCAACCCCTGGGAGAGGTGTACTGCATTAACTTTTCATCTCACACTTCCTCCAGTCCTACAACTTGGGAGAGGTGCTAAAAGCAGGGCCAGAGAGCAGGAGCCCACACCCCTCCCTGGAGCCCACAGCCACCCCTTGACCCTCCTGGGCAGCGTTCCCGGCGGCGGGGAGAAGAGCCCACAGCAGTGCAGCTCGGTGTGCCTGGCACAGCACAAGGTCTGGGGCAGCACCGGGGCTGGCCAGCTTGTGTCCACACCAGCCCCAGAGCAGGAGCCCTCCAAACCTCCCACCACGCTGCACCAGCTCTCCAGGCTGCGGCACAAAGGGACTGCTGCTGATTCACAAGTTGCACAAGGCATAGGGGATCCCAAACACTGTTTTCCTGTAACTTCTTCTTAAGTAATACAAGAAACAGGGCTGGCTCAGCCTTTGTGTCTGTCTCAGCAGAGGGAGGGGACCGTTTAACTAACCCCAGGAAGCATGACAGTCCCAAAGAGCAAAACACGCTTGTTGTTGTGGCTAAAAGCAGACAGGGGGTTTTCATTTTACAGCTGGAAAACACATCCTAGTTGCTATAATCCCAACACAAAACCGTAACTAGATAGTGCGAGCACATGGCTGCCCCCACATACCTTCCCTCTGAAATCGGAGCAGTCACATGAGCGTCAATCTGCTCAGTTTTTGTTTTTTACCTGTCCTAGAACACCGCAGCAATAAACAAGGCAGCCAGAGGCCAGAAGGCAAAGCTAAATAACACTGAGAAGAAAGAGGAGAAAAAGCAGTTTGGAGCCAAGAAAGGAACTGCATAAAGAGGGACCACTTCTGCAGCACACAGAGGCCATTCCTTACTTCAGCGAAGCTTCACTTACTGCAGGCTTTTTAGTCCTACACACAGAGCTGTAACGCACTGTGCTCACATTTTTTAAAGCCTCACGAGTAATCCTGTTCATGCCACCGTGTGGGGACTTGCCGAGTGGGTCAGGAGCACTGGTGTGCTTAAGTGGGAGGGAAGCCACGCACCATATAAATGATGGCAGCAAGGAAGATTTACCTCCTGAAAAATAAATTACTGGCAGACAGGGGAAAAAAAAGATGCTTAACCCAAATGTTCGTACAGTGTGGCTTTGCAGGTGTGCCACCAACTACCCGACCGACAGGTTATCCAAACCACCTGCAGGGCTGAGGGTTTGAAGATGGGATATACCAGCTGCTACCAGCCCAGGGCTCCTCACAGGTGGTCACCAACCTGTTGCAAAGGACACTGGCATGCTTTTCCCAGCTGAAAAGCTTCTTTTCCTCCACCCAGTCTACCCCACTGAGATCCAATTTCCCAGTCTGCCCAACTCTACATATCACTGGTCAGGTCACCTCTAGCTCAGAGTTAAGCACTGACCTTTATTAACGGGTGCCAGCAGCACGTTTGGTGTTGCACGAGACACCCAAGGCAGGTGTAGCACCTGTCTCAGAGGGTTTCAGTCCAGAAGAGCACAATTCCTTAAAATATCTATTCCACTGTGATCTATCCTGAGACTCGATGCTACTTGGCTGCTTCTTCAGAGAGAAACAGGGTCATTATGGCAGTCAGTGTTTGGGGAGCAGGGGGAGAGGAAGGCAGGCATGGGAGGAGGTCAAGGAGAAAGACCCTGTGGGTGCACCTGATCAGGGAATAAGCTGGCAGGAGCCCTCAGGCTGCTAATCCTGGCAGACG